ATGATTATTGACAGAGGGATACGAAGAAAGATTAGAAGACGAATATATGACAAGTTGATAATGATCTGCAGGAACTTGATTACTGACAGAAATATAAGGATGGGTTAAATTGATGCCTTACATTTACACGGATTCACATACCATACAAGTGGACCTCTTTTTGCGGCCTCTGAAGAAGCAAGTAGATTAGTAATACTAGTGCATGACTTATATTATTTGTCCCTTGGGTTCCTAATGGAACATAGGGCTTCAGTAGCATGTCTCCATCACACTCTGTTCTATGTAGTCCTCTGAACCTGGCTCCATGACTACCCACAACCTTGCATTTCTTCCTCACATCATCTCCTCCATGTCACCCTCGCCTCCGACGCCCAACTCGTCATTTCCCCTTTGGATTCCACTCGATGGCCTGACCTGACGTGTGATGTCACCAAACCGTCTTCTTTCTTGGTGTATGTCCAATCCAATCAATCTCCACTTTCTTCTGCATATTTGTTGGGTGATGGGTTCTTGGTTGATTCGTTACCAGACGGAGTGTGGGTGAGTGAGTGAGTTCCTTGTTGCTTTTTCTTATTATTCTGGCCGTGTGATCGATTTTCAGTATCGAGTGAGTGTAGGTAGCAGCTGTTGATGAATGTCTGTAGTTTGTTGGAAATGCTTTTCGTAACACGCCAAGTCTCTCAATCATCACATTGAGGCACTGACTTACTTGACATTCGTGTTGAAAATTCGGATTTTGTTCTTTATGCTGAGTGCAGTGCAGTAGATCAGATCTCCACACTGATTTCGGGTTAATGAAGGCGTGTCTTGCTGTGTTTGCGATCCTGGCTTTGCCATCCTCATCTGTGCCTGTGCCGCCTATAGTTGAGATGAGGCTGCCTAGGTAAGTAGGTGAAAGAGACCAGTTCCTTTAGGTTTCCTGCCGTTGATGATGATTGATGCTTGTTGTTGTTGTTGTTGTTGGTGGTGGTGGTGGTGATGGTGTTGGTTGGGTATGTTTATCATCTCTGTCTTCTCTACGTTCACCTGAATGAAGTGCCGTCTTCGCTGCCCTGCTTCACCTCTTCTGTGAACTAGTTGGTTTTTGCCTGTAGATCTCCTAGTTTGTGCGACAAGACATTAGACATAAATCATCCTGGTCGGTGAAATCGAAATCTTCTTCTGGAATCTTTTCATCGGTGCAGCCAGCCAGCGTATGCCTCTCTTCTCGCTCCTCACAGTTTGTTGCATGATTCAGCAAAGTACACGACAATCCGGAAGATCATCGGTGATAGTAGGTGGCATCCCTGTCTTACTCATGTGTTCACTTCAAAGGCGTCACAGTGCTTTCCATTGTGAATCACTTTGTATGTAGCATCATATGGCATATAGTTGTTGAATGAGGTTTATAAAAATTTCTGGTGGTGGTGGTGGAGGTTGTCGATTCAAGAGTTTTTTGAGGTGGTCAGCCCATCGTTTCGTTTGTCTCTCTTTTTGTTAAATAAGTTTCCTTCACTGTCTTTCATTGGTTTAATCTGTGTTCATCTCTCCTCTCCCAGATAGTAACCTGGTTATTTGATACAATGTTGTCAGGTCTCTCCTACCAGCCACCTGTTCTGCTTCACTTGCCGATGTGTCGTAGAAGTGTTTTTTGTCTTTTGGGGCACTCTTCTTCACTCCTTTGTTTAGTATAGTATTTTGTCGGTTGTGTTCAGTTCCTCTTTTCGTTGTCCATCTTTGCACTGCACTGCACTGCACTGCACTGCACTGCACTACACTGCACTGGTTCATCTTCTGCTTCAACATCCTCCTCTCCCTCCTCCTCTATCAGCTTCCATGTGTCCGTCGAGATCCATTTCCTGTCTTGTTCCTTCTTCCTTCCTAACACGGTCATGCAGGTTTCCTTCCACATCTCTTCCAAAGAGTTCCAGTGTTCTTCCACGCAGATTTCTTCAGGGATGTCACTTAGTGTCTCCCACTTTACTCTAATAGCTGAGGTGAGGATGTCGTTTGTAGTTTCGTCCTTCAGTTCAGTTTCTTTCTGTTCTGGGTGTTGAACATGAACTGTGGCCGTCTATCAGCAACTTCTTTGAAGTCTTTCAACTTGATTTTGAAGGTAGGTTGTTTGGACTAGATAGTGAGTGAGTGGTGTGAACCACCTACATCTGCTCCTCTCCTTGATCTGATCTTGTGTCCAGTAGGCTGCGTCTCCACTTTCGTCACATTGAGATGAAGTCGATGTGATTTTTAGTGTCATTCTTCATTGTCATTCTTCCAGTCTCTCTTTTCGTACTTTGTATTTCCTTTGTTTGAATTTTCTTATCTTCATCTTTCGCCTCACTGCCTTTTTACTTGATGTACTGATTTGAGCTGTGGCAAGTCGAACCGTTATGCAGTAATGCCTGGTCCTATGTCAACATAGGATATTGATGATTCTCGACCCATGGTGAATTCTCTTCCTGTGTTGTCCGCTCCCAGTTTGGCTGGCATTCATGTCACCCCACCCATTGGAATTGTGATGTCGCCATCTAGGATTGGAATTTAGTCCATTAGTGATTACAGTTGTCTGTAGGATTCCTCCTTCTTCTTCGTCTGATCTGCATTATTTGTAGGTGCGTGGCGTAGCATTGTATGATTGTGACTTTGCTTCCTTTTGAGTTGAATCCATCCTTGTGTCATGATCCTGATGGGGTGGAGAAGGAGATTGGTTGCCACTTCATGAGAGAGAGAGAGAGAGCCTTGGATGCTGTTGGGGACATCATGATAGCCACTGTGAAACTCAGTGTGCTCGTGGTTGTCGTCTGTGTGAGAATATCGGAGTAGATTATTGACTGTGCAGTTGATAGTTTGGAGAGTCGACTTCCATTGAATCTGCTTTCGCAGATTCCTGGTGGTTGTATGCCATAACTTTCACCTCTTTCTCAATTTGGTCAGCCATGCCAGCTGGTTTCATACATGGTGTTGACATTCCATGTCCGTATGTTTACTTAAGCTTTCATGGAGAGAAGCGAAGACATATCGACGAATTGGCTTCGCGAAGGCTTTCAGCGACTGATGTCATTTCGTCTCCCTGATTCAAGCGAGAAATAATTTTATTATTATTTTGTAGATTTTCTTAGTGCTTTGAAATTTGTTTAGCGATTGTATTGGTTTTTCGAGGTAGGATTGGTAGCCCTATGCCCAACCTTCCCTTTTTATATGAGCTTAAGACCGGTTAGTAACTAGTGAACTAGTTAACCAAGAGAGGTGCATGATTGAGGAATTCAAATGAAATCTGCCTGAAGCCTGACGGACTCGACCTTTTTGAGGGTCTAACATTGAACTTTGGTTGTGTTACGTCCACCCAGATAACTTGTACCAGAGGCAACGGAAGAACACAGAGTGGGAAGATTTCTGCTATTTTTGAAGCGAACTTTTTTTAATCTCGTTTTTCCATAGATATGCCAGTGCTGGTATGGACTGCAGAGTACTGAATGAAAACATCTGATATCTGTCGCATCCCATCCAGGTAGCAGTGCGACTTTATTATCTGACTACCATCACAGCACAGCTGTTCACATTGTTACAGAAATTACTGTTAGTCCTAATACCATCTGATAGACCTTTCTGGAATGGTATGGTCCCGCAAAAGCAGTAGTTAAAACCGGCATCACTCTTTAGGTTTTTGTTATATACATACTCGCTCATCATATTAAGATAGAAGTAATAGTTTGGTTTCAGCTAAAGAAAAACTTAACATTTTCTTCGTTGGATATGATGTGATAAATGAAAAAAGTTGTAAAGCCCATTAGCTAGTCTTCATAGAGGTACATAGGCATTCACATCAGTTTCATCCATTAGAGTAAAAAAATGTCTGATGATAGCTATGTCAATGAATTGCTTTGAACGAAAAGACAAACCATGTGGTTTCAGACGGAGTATGTCTCTGATAACAAATACGTATTCTATAAACTTCTATCCAGTGACCTAAAAGTATGATAAGTAAATCATCTAAAGTTCTTGAACAATATACTTTTTCTAAATAGAGTAAAGTGACTGAATCGAGCACTTTCAGCACTCATCCAGAAGAATTCTCAGTGGTAGACGATATGCTAGTGAGGTTTTCATCATCTGAAAGAAAGACATCCAAAATCAAGAGTATTCAGTATCAGAGACTCCAAACGCATGAGGGAAGGATAAAGTGAAACACATATAACATAGTGAAAACTACTAGATAACGAAATTTTTTTCAAAACATAAAGTTATCTGTTTTATTCTACATTTCCGAAAATGAATGGATTTAAGCGTCACGGGTTTTAGTCTATGACTTAGAATGTTGCCAATCAGAAAATCTCACAGATTCTTGCTCGATGTGAGTCATTGGTGATCAATATGTTTTATCTGGTTATTTATTGACTGTTTTTACTATAATTTAAAAAAATGAATAGTTTGGATTAAAAGGCATTGGAAATTATAAAGGTTTAAAAATATCGCATAAACAACTGCTGTGTTAACTGTTCCTAATTCAAATAGCATTGGTCAAGTTAACTGCATCAGTTAGATATGGGAATAACGTGTAATAAAGTTATGCTTTGAAAAATAAAGAATGAACATTTATTTTTTAATAATAGTTAGCGAAAATATGACTTCCGTTAAAGAGTTCATCGCTTATACTAATGATCAAATACAATTTACGTGAACATTCAAAACCATTAATGCATCTTTCTGTATGTCGTTCAAGAATCTCGCAACATATTTTTAAATTTTTCGTAGGTGAATCTTTTGGTGAGGTCTAAGTTTTATGCTAGCATGATATTTGTTGGGAAACTTTTATTCAAGGTCACATGGGATCTATCTCACTGACGGACGTATTACAGCAATCTCATTAATGACGTGTATGTTATATGCAACTAAACAACATGTTTGATAGTTGAGTAAGTTAATAAACAGCTACTATAGAGAGTAAATACTATTGCCGTGAAGAACACAAAATTTAAATCATACATACTGTTATCAGTAGGGAAAACAGAAAATGTATTTACCCATTTAAATTTATGACGGCCTTAATCGCCTCAGCATAGTTAACCATAAGTACAAAGCCATAACCTTTACAGTAATTTGAGCCTGCATCTCTAACAATCTGAATGGATAGAACAGTACCAAATGGACTGAATAAGTGACGCAAAGATATTTCTTCTATGTCTGGAGGTAGATTAGATACCATCACACACCATATGGAGCCACCTAATCCATTAGGATCAGAAGATTGAGGTAACGCCGACGTGGCATATCTAGTAGATGCGTTTGTAGGGAATGCATGTGGTAGACTTGACAAAGGTGGAATGAAAACAGAATTATTTATTTGAGTTTGCGATGAAAAACCTGTTGCTTGAGTGGTTCGAGGTGTGACAACTGGAGCAACCATCCCAGGCGCAAAAGGGTAAGTTATGCCAGAATTGCATGATTCAATAGGAATTGTTCCATTGTATCCGGCTGAAGGTGTTGTCATGCAGCCAAAAGTTTGCATGTAACTGTGCTGTGGAATTCCACTGACTGATCCAGCGAAATTTGGATAAGCAGCAGGTGCAGGAAATCTGAAATAGAGTGAAAGGAATGAGGAGGTTCAAAATATTGTCAAATTAATAGAAATAATACTTGTTTCACAGTGTACTTTTGTGAGCTAGAACAAGGAATTGATAAAAGTGAGAAACAGCTGAACGAAAGATTTAGTCATGTGAATGAATCCTTATGTAGTATTAGCGACAATAGAATGTCAAGTATTTTCATTTTCAGACTGCACTGCTCTGTCTACCTATGGTCTTTATGAACTGTTATCTTTTTCATCACGAAATGAATAAAATACTGTGAAGTACATGTTTACCTTATTGTTCGATGGAATGTGAAGATAGAGTCAGGAGTACGAGTCTGCCAAATCACGGCTATCTAAGACAGTCATATTCATAAAATAATAGTAGTCCTTTTTGCTGAGGATTTTGTTCTTCAGCACCTTCATAAATTTTAAAATATGATAAATTTTTCACTACATCAGTTAAAAATTTAGAAAATAAACACTTCATTTCTTTAATGTACTTTTGAGATGAATGGGGAATTTTAATTTCTTTACTTTCCTATCAAAAATATAAGTTATTTTCATTGGTATCGTTTACTTAATGTCAAAAAAAATTAAATAAACTTATTTGTCGGATAATGAGGTTGGAAGTGAGTCAATATTCTTATCAACAGAAGGCATCCGTAGATGAATTCAAAGAGATGACCGTGAGTAGTATTTACTGAACATCATCTAAATTGTTAACCCCAAGTCACTTAACCAGGTTGTAATCCAACTGTTCATGAACCTGGTTTATGAAATAAGGAGATACAGACTGATATCACCAGTTCTTTGTTTTATAGAATAATGAAAAGTTGTTATTAATCAGAGCAGAGTGGCATGTGATTTACGAGCTGACCTACGCGAATTGGTCAACAGTGGGTAAGCGACGCAGTTTCCTGATTCTTAATGCTTAGGAGTGATCGAAGTCTACCGGTCACATTTTGCAATGTGGCCACCAAGCAAAGTTAAGAGATACTGTGGTGCATTGTATTTTCTCCTTATATGGTGGTAGTCAGTCCTCAGGAAGCCTTCGTCCTAGTTTTTGTATTTGTTGACACTATTTAGGAAACAGTATGTCACGAACCACGAGGAAGTTGGTGTCAGCTCAGTCAATCGAGCTTGGGACACTTATCCAGTTTGCCCTTGGTTGCAGAAACGCCTTTATGACGACAGACAATAAGTGCAAAAACGTGGTCTAAAGCTTCAAGCTGAAAAACTACGACTACCTAATAGTTGAGATATCAGCGAAAACAAGAAAATGATTTTGACCTGGTTTGTTTAAAGAATGAAGACAGTGTTGGAATATCACTGGTTTAGCAAACTTACAGAGTGACAAAAAGAAGAATGAAGCCCCTTTTGTCACCAATAATCTGATTCACGGATGCTGTGCCAATAAATACTGTTTCAGTTTTTCTCATACATATGGTAGATATACGTAAACGATCAGTATGCGCATGGTGTTTACATTTAATAAAGTAATTTAGGCCAAGTGATGTGGAACATATAAAACAGGTGCAACATAAGTAAATTAAGGACTTGAACAATGTACTTATGAAACCATTAGCAGAATGAGAAAGATGATATCATGATACTTCATAGAATCGTTATCAGGTGTGTACAATCTAGATGGATAAGTAAATTATCACTTTGGCAGACTTGAGCACACCGGCATTTAAAAATTACAAACAAAACAATTCCGAATATGTTATAGGGTGGGGAAAGATTGACAAAATCTTTATAAGAAGCCAGATTTGCCTAAAGCCTTTTTCAACCAATCGCTTTGTTTCGAAGTTTCGGAAAAAACACGTGAACCAACGTGTAAGTATTAGGTTGGTTGAAGAGATGAAAAATTAAAAGAATTTTAAATCTAGTAGGCCTGGAATACCCAAGGCAATTGTAATATACAAAAATCATATAATTTTTATATATTGTGGATGCTGATGTAGTAAATTTACGGAGAAAATGAGTAACCAGTATGGGTGGAATCTGAAAGTTGTCGTCCAAGTGTCCACATATACATAATCCAGCCTATATTGAGTTACTGGCAAAGATATATAAAAACTTGGCAGTTGGAGCTATATAAAAGAATACAAAGAAGATTATAGTATGAAATTCAGTCGAACTATAGACGTCATGTAAGGCAAGGTGATGCATGCTCACGAGTGAAGTAGAAGATAGGTGAACGAGTAGAAGCGGTTACACAATTATGCGAAAATTTATCTACGCTGAATGATAAGTGGTTGAGATGAATTATCTTAGTGGATACCAAACGATCCGTAACTGATGTCAATCTGTGATGAATACTACCTAGAAATACATTGACTGATCACAGGAGAGTAACCGGTTTCAAGTTGTCTAGTCTTGCATTGTATCGATCATTTCTGCAATGTGGCCACTAAGCTAGGAGACTCAGCATTGTGGTGCACACTAACAGATGTTAGTTGGTTGGAAGCAATCGATAGGGAGCTCTGGACGTAGGTACTCATCAGCAAGGGGTACTTGCACGTAGACGAAAGTAGTGTCCTGCCTGAGAATCGAACCCACCTCAACCAGTGTAATAGTCAGAGACATTACCACTGAGCTATTCGGGCCGTACTTAGGATCCTGTAGGACTGGGTTATGTACGCTGATTGGTCACAGGAGAGTAACCAATTTTAAGTTGACCAGTCCTCTGTGCTGACCAACTTCTATCGATCAGCTAACTTACCCTGCTGATGAGCGTTAACAAGGACGAAATCTGAGTCCAGGGATTTTTGGCGATCGACTCCAACCAACTACCTAGAAATATATGAAGAGTTTGTGCACCGTGGAGTGAATAAAGTTTATTTCTAAATTTATTTTTAACAAATTTCAAATGAAAGTTTACTCATCATGATCAAGTAAATTACTGCACGTGGTCACACCAGTAGTTAAGATTTTAATCCACCAACCTGAATTCAAACTAGATATGTGATCACAGGGTCATCATTTTTCGCAAACTTGTCAAACCCTCAAATTCTGGTCACTGAGTGTAAACAACCTGAAGATTGACCAATACATTATGTTTTTTCTATTTCAACATGCAATAAGACATGGGTACTTTACTTCGTTTACTTTTAAAATTTGTGACGATTTTAGCTTTTTGAAGAGGAGAATGTTTTTCAATCTTTCAAATGACATTTTAACACCTTGGTTTAAATAAACGAATTCCGATTACAGGATCTCAAGGTTTCACTATGACTCAGCCACCAAAATTCGAGAAATCGGGTTATGTGGCTAATTCCTAACAAATGTGTAATTTAGACCTTGATACAAAGACATGCACTTGATTAGTAGGCTATGGCATTGACTACTTTCTTAAAATTTAGGAAAGCTCTGAACAGATGTTGATTAGATCTTTGTAAAGCAATGCTATAAAAGTTGTTGTAGTTTTTTTACTGAATTTCAGAAAAAATACAGCATACTTCGAATATTTTACTTAAAAAAATTGTGCACATTTCCACATTTTTTTCACTTCGCTGTCTTTTTATTGACTTTTTTCCTTTCATTTCTTTATATATCATTGGTAGTACCAAATCGAAAGTCGGTGATAGTCTTTAGCATTTCTTTTGATCACATGTACATTTATATATGTGTAGGTAGGTAAAGTTTAGAATTTCATAACAAAGGATACTTTACAGTACTCATAATGCGACAGAGCAATTTCATATTTATTACAATTTGCTATACACAATCTTTTTCATAATCAGCGAATGTTTTAATGAAATGGGAAAGCTAATGTTCACATATGCTTTTAATATTCGACAAATATTTCAGACGTTATCATTTTGTTTTACAAATGCATATATTATTTATATTTACAATGGTTGGAAAAATTACAATAAAAGCAAATAGATGATAGGCTAAAACCATTATTTCTCTCGCAATTTATTTAGATGTATAGTAGTAGCAAGATTCTGAATAGGTGCATGAAAAATGATCATAAAATGGCTTTTTTTTAAAGCTTTTATACCATTAATTTAGCTACGCATTTTTAATCGTGTCTTTCTCAGAGAGCACGAAAAAGGAAACACAATTTATAATTATGTTCCAATATGTGTTTTGTTATCAGCTAAGATGATCGCTTAATTTATTCTGTTTAATATTTACGGGCATTTATGATAAAGTTAGATGGTCACATTTTCATCTTCCAGAGAACAGATATGGAAAACAAATAAAAATTCAGCAAGTTTATCCCTCACAGTTGCGTGTAATTAATGTTTACACAGTTCATAGCATTGTAAATTCACAACTGGAAGAATAGATCATCTTTTTGTCAAAAGGCACTTCATCATAGGTATCTTTGAGGGTCTTCCTGTGTATTGTAAAGACAAAGACGCATCCCGTGAACATTGTTAAGTCGCCAGTAGTTTTCTCCGTTCTAAGGCTAAGTTTCATTTGCAATGAATGATGAGGTGGGATTGTGCTAACTGAATTTTTCAGTACTTTTCCAGTTTGATATCTCAAAGTTCTTATAGAAAATCTTCCTATTTAGGATTGAGGTAAAAACTGGATACATTTGTTAAGGTTTCAGAAAATTGATTTAAGCCACATCTCCTAATAGCTCCTGAAGATCTGGAGGTGTAATAGTAAGAAGCATCAAAGTAGAGTCACACAGCTATTCATTGGTATTCTGCATCTGATATCGAAGTTGAGTCGAAATCACTCACCAACTTTGTGCAGACTCATGCAGCAGTCAGTGAGCTGCATCTACTGTTTGAGGTCTAATGATAATACATGGTTTCTCAGACCGACATAGGTGAACCTCCATTCGGACTCCTGACTTATCGGCTGGAGGTCGTGTCTCGAACAATGAGGCATACTTCCATTCACTTTATGTGAAAAATATAATGGACAAAATCGAATGGTTGCATTGTAATCCATTAGTTGATTTTTTGCGAAGAACAATACGAAAGGAAATTGAGATAGAGAGATGTTCTTTGTTTAAAAACTATAAACTGATGC